TCTAGTCATAGGACCACATCATTCTAGGCTGGAGTACTCCGATCATCTGAAGTTTCAATATTCTCAGTATTTTCTTTTCGGATACCACTCAAATCATCCGTCTTAGCTTGTCCTCTACTTTTCGGATTATTCGGAGGAGGAGGAGGTGGAGGGACTCTAAATCTGGTGTGATATGATGATGATGCCAGTATGTGCAAACCAACCTTAGGGGATGGGAATAATAAAAATAAAGAAAAATAAAAGGTAAACAAGTCAGTAAGGAATCTGAAAGTGTTTGCAGTATTTAAAACATATATTGCGGGAATGCAAATTCGCATCCTAATTTGGGAGCCTCGATGTGCCCGAGGTAGGCCTAGCGACAGATAGATTTGGAGAATTTCAGTGGCAATGATTGCCTCATTTCATTAATGTAAAAATAGATGAATCTAAAAAGACACTAAATAAGATAAGTCACTAATGGCACTTGCACTTATTACATTTGAAAAGCAAATAAACCTAAGCCACTTGGTCCCAAAAGGACCTTCTCCAGGCTGGATGCTCTTGTCGATCATATTCCCCAGTTCGTAGGTTCAGCAGTAGGTATGCCCTTGCTAAATGTCCTCCTTCGCTTCCTTTAGTGTTCTGGAAATCAATGACTCCATTCCTCATTTTTCCTTCCAATTCCATCAGACTGTACTCCAGATATTCCAACCTTTCGCTTGATTTAACAGCCATCTCTCTCCATTCATTAATTAGTTTCATATCGGTCTTGTGTCGCTCTATGTGCTCGGCCTCGGACTCGTGAACTCTTTTGCGTAGTTTGTTGTACTTCACTTGTGATTTGACAACTTCATCTATGACTCTATTTCCTAGACCAATCTTTGGCTCGAATATTCCTGTTATGTTATCCTCTAACCATGATGGGTAAAAGTACACATGGTCAGTATGATATCGATCTGGCTCGATGGTATCCTTTTCTGCGATAACTTTCAAATGCCACATATGCTGAGTTTCACATTTGTATGGGACGTCGTCATCCTGAAAATCTGCACTATAGTGACTCATTTTAGCAACTCGAGGTATGACCTGCTTCATGCCTGCCTGTCTCATAACCCTGATGGAATCATAAGGGTATATGACCCTTAATCCGATCAGTACCAAGTGTGGAACATCCCTAGATCTGATGATGAACTCGTCGGTAGGGAATCATTCGAACATCCATTGAACCTGATCCTCAGTCAAATTGCTGAAAAATTGTGCCCATCCTATAGCACTCTCGGGTTGAGCAAACTTGTCTGGGATATAGTTCATTCTCTTAGGATGATGGAAAGTTATGTGGTCAATCCACGGCCTTCGCGGAAGCTCTTGACGGTATTGACCTTTTTTGAGATGCTCTAGCAACCAAACTTATAACAGCAGATTACAACCTTTGAAGTATTTGTACCCCTTCTGACAGCGCTCTAAGGCTTGGTATATGTCTGCTATGATCATAGGGACAATGGTATATATTTTCCCCTCGATCCCATCCATCAAGTTTTTGGCTACCATGACTAGTCTGGTGTGGATTTTATCCCCTTGGATCAGGAACTTAAAGATGAAACCCCATATTTTAGAAAAACATTAAAATCGATTAATAATAAGGAAGAAACAGAAGGTTTTGAAGAAAAATACTAGATAAACTTAAAATTATTTCAGATCTACAAGGATTTAAACTGACTCGGGTAGGAAAAGATGAGGGTTTTGAAGAAAGGAACGAGGTAAGAAAAATCTGATTAAGAACCGAAGTTTCAAGCCATAAACATAAAGATAACACTACTCATAGTCACAGTAATGAACACAAGGTGGGTTCATCGAAGTAATGAAGAGTTTAGGTCGACTCTGAGTTAAATCTCTTCGAGATTCCTTCAGATAACAACAAAATCGAACAACGAGTGATGGTAAGAGGCCGGCTAGGGCCTAAAATCGAAGGGAAACCCCATGGAACGGAGGGTTTTCCAGTGATGGCGGCTAGGGTTAGGGGAGCGTCTGAGAGAGAAGAGACGAGGTGGGGATTCAGAGGCGGTATAATTGAAAAATGAGTAGGGTTGGGGGTTGTGAGTAATTAAATAAGGAAGGTGATCCTGGACCGTTGATCTTTTGAGATCAACGACCAAGATTTGATCTGAGGGATTAGACGACTCACATAGGAAATCGGGCTAGGGCATTTGGGTTAGATTAGGGTATTGGGCTAAAGTTTAATTGGGCTGGGGTCTGAAGTTGATTAAGAAAAAGGGGCTATTATTTAAATACTCAATTAACTTAATAAAATAAATTTATAAAATAATTTATGGATGATAGAAATATCATCTGTGCGTGACAATGATTTAAAATAATTACTTAATATTATAAAAATATAAAAGGTTATTTTCTTGTGAAATAAGGTACTAATGCACACATGGGCCATTATTGTAAAGTTATTGTAATTATAACCCTAACATGTACATATGGCTATTCATGGAATAATTAAAGCTTAGTACAAATATAAATGATAAAATTAAGTAATAAAATTATCATAAAACCATTTGTGATTATTAGTAATTATTTATATAATAAAATGCTAGAATAAAGTAATTAAAATCCTTTTAAAATTACAGGACAATTATGAAAAAATACCGGTTGATGCTCATGTACTATTTGAAAGTATATATGCACTTTGACATATATGAGAGAAAAATTGTGTATCAACAACATACCCAGAAGGGGCCCAAGCTGATCATCTTCGACCATGATATTTGATTGGTACCGGTTATGGACGTCGGCCCAAGTTACTGCTAGATACTCTATCAGATTTTGCTTCAACTGCTATGAAGCCAATGAGCTTTGACTATTGAGTCCTTGGGTTAAGGCCTAAACGGCCCAATCTTCTGCCACTAGTGGCAGATCTATCTGTTCCATTTGAAACCTTGACATGAACTCTCTGAGTATTTCATTATCCCTTTGTTTTACCTTGAAAAGGTTTTACTTCCTGGTCTCGACCTTGATGGCTCCGCCGTGTGCTTTTACAAAGGCATCTACAAGCATCGTAAATGAGTCAATAGAATCAAGGGGAAGGTAAGTTGTGATAGTATATCATAGCTCCCTTTGGCAAAGTCTCTCCAAACCTTTTTAGCAGGACGAATTCGATCTCATCATCTTCCAAATCGATCCCCTTGATGGCGCACGTGTAGGAGGTCACATTCTTATTTGGGTCAGTTATTCCGTTGTACTTAGGAATTTTGGGCATGCAGAACTTCTTTGGGATCGGCTTCGGAGCTGCGCTCGAAGGGAAAGGTTTCTGAACAAACTTCTTAGAATCTAGGCCTTTCAGTATCGATGGTGCTCCTGGGATTTGGTCGACCCTGGAGTTGTAGGTCTCCACCTTTTTGTCATTAGCTTCGATTTTCTTTTCTCCCGATTCAACCTGTTTTATCAATTCCTTGAGCGTCTTTACTATCTCGGGGTAGGTCCCAGATTTAGCTTTATTTGGCCTTTTTGTGACTGGTTCATTTCTGCGGGTGTTTTTCCAAGATGGTCCGGGCCCAACTCTACTGGGAGCACGGATTTGGCTCTGTAATTGGGCTATCACTGCATGTTAAGCGTGTAGCATTTTGAGGATCAATCGCAAGTTGATCCCATCGCCTTCACCACCGTGCATATCCCTGGCTCCCGACCTGGCTCCCCCGCGAATACTGTTTTCTGGGTCTATGGGCAAGCTAGTGTCGATGACCACATGGGAGTTGGCATGGATTGGATTACTATCGGGACCCTGTTGGGTCAGCAGGGTGAACCTCGTTGTTGTTCACTATATTGTTGTTCTCGCCGTAGTGGCCAAATTCAGCATCAACGTTAAGGTGAGCAGATTGAGAGTTTGATATCTTTAAGTTTCCTGAAATTAAGACCTCAGAGTATGTAGTGAAAATTTGTATCAAATAGCCAGTATTATCCTTGGCCCCACGATGGGCGTCAAACTGTTTACCCTAAAAAATAGATAACCATTAAATTTGTAAGTGGTAGGCTACACGGATTAATTTGATATAGATGATAACTTGCGTTAGATTAAACAAATAAAGGTATAGTAAATTCAAACCACGTGAGGAGGAGGATTCCATCCTCAATGAAATATCCACCCTCGATCCGGACTCACAATGGCCAACACTGATGAACAAGAATAAGAACTTTCAATGACTGAGAAAATAATAGTATATTGCCTTGTTATGCATGTGTTACAATATTTTCAATGAATAATTAGACTCCCCTTTATATAGTAGGGGAGTTTTACCTTAAATACAATTCTATAAAAGGTAAAAAAAATTATCTATTTAACTAATCACCAATTTTCTATCGATATGTGCCGAGATTCACGTCATGATATCCGGTCGGTCACGGATATTACGGCCTTATGTCAATCATGTTCGATTTCTCGATAACGCTCTCTGAAGTCTTTTAGGATTTGAACTGATCCGGGGTCATGGCCCCGATATTCTCGGGGGCGGGCATCGTACCCCAGGAATGTGTCTCGATGACTCCCTTACCTCGATTCCGGCTCCTTACAATCACGTCTGTTACTCGATTTATTTTTTCGGAGATCGGGTCGTCTTACGGGTCCGGTTTCACCTATATACAATAGGCCTTTTCATTCGAGAAAAAATTTATAGTATAAAGTTAAATTATTTTTATATACTTTATAAAAACATGTTATTCTTTTTGGGACAAAGTAAAAAGAAAATGTGGCACATAATAGAGAAAGTAATTAATTTGACTTTTATATTTATTAGGCTTTAAATAAATTTATATTATAGATAGATGGAATGGGAATTTTTCTTTTTTCTTTTTTTGACATGTATTGAGATTCAGACACGTAAGTCCTTACAATTCCCGACACGCAATTACAATGCTTAACATTAATTGTAGTTTACAAGTGTGAGCGAAATTCATTCACTTAAGCAAGCCTTAGTAATCAGCTCTATAAATAGGCGTGCATATATACTCTGAGTTTGAACACTAAGGTGAGGTGGCCGGTAGGAATAAAACTACAGGTTTAATTTAATTTAAAAGGAAAAAAATGTGGAACATTGGTTTATGGTTAGTAGCAGTAATAGTTGTAGGAATCAGTAGATGGGTATACAAATGGAGGAATCCCAAATGCAAGGGTGTATTGCCACCTGGCTCCATGGGACTTCCCTTTATTGGAGAGTCCATTCAATATTTCTCTTCTCATTCCTATGAAGGAATTCCACCCTTTATTGCCGAAAGGACTGCAAGGTTTATTTAATTTGTTAATGGGTTGCGTTTCCTCTCTTTTTTGTTTTGCAGTTCCTTTAATTTGTTCTTCTCATCCCTAAATTATTGGTCTTGAAAATATATGAGTCATATTTCTCTTGCATGAAACCGTTACATATAACATGAACTTGAACTATTTGTCAGGTACGGAGGATTATTTAAAACAAGTATACTTGGGCAGCCAGTGGTGATATCAACTGACCCAGAAATCAATTACTATGTCTTCCAACAAGAAAATAACCTCTTCCAATGCTGGTACACAAAGAGTGCTTCTGATCTCCTTGGAGAGCAAGGCTTGAATGTCCACGGCGGAGCTGTCCATAAATACCTTAGGAATTTAGTTCTGTTTCTTGTCGGCCAACAAAGCTTAAAGGGAAATTTGATGTCTGAAATTGATTTAATTACTCGTAAGCATTTAGATTGGTGGGCTGAGCGCGGCAAGATCGAAGTCAAAGAAGCAGTTGAAATTGTGATTCTCTCACCTCCACCTATGATTACTTATTAACTTACTAATATCTTTTTTTACTCCAGTACAGAAATATACATATATATGGAGTACTATATAACTCAAAATATTTACTACTATTTTTAGATGCTATTCACATTTATTGCGAAAAAGACCCTTGGTTTAGAAGAACAAGAGGCATTGGAACTAAGAGAGCATTACAAAGCTTTTTTTGGTGGTTTTCTCTCATTTCCTCTCAATGTGCCTGGAACAGCTTACCATGCCTGCTTACAGGTATCTTCTTTTCAATATATACCAAAGTAAAATGCATCTATTAATGCTTGCATGATCAGGCCATCAATATTCCTGGATCAGTGCGACCATTTTTCGGACCATGCCTGAATGCGGAATATCTTGTGCACGGGCTATCCTTTAGATCATGACATTCTATGAATTAATTAATTTCAACATGCATGCAGGGGCGTAAAAATATTGTTAAGGTGATCAAAGATATTTTAAAGAAAAAGCAGTCATCCAAGGAAAAGGCGAATCAAGATTTCTTAGATCACATGCTTAAAGAAGTAGAAAATGAGGAATCATTGCTGACTGAAGAAATTACAGTGGATTTAGTTCTGTTACTGCTATTCGCTGCTTATGAAACCACTTCTTCCTCCATTACACTATTGTTTAAATACTTGAATAGTCATCCCGAGGTGTTGACAGAGCTGACGGTTTGTGCTCTTAATTAATTACTAGCTATCTGAAACATTAATCTTTTTTATTTAATGAATCTCGAGTAGTTCTTTTCCTAAACCCTATAAAAAGTCGTATATTTTGTAGGAAGAGCATGAGAGCATTCTTAAACGTCGAACAGACGAAGGCGCTCTAATTTCGTGGCTTGAGTACAAATCAATGAGTTTCACAAATATGGTAAGTTTATTTTCTTGCGTGATCGCTAATTGTGTAATTAGTTAAGAGTTTAGGTGTCCTCCAGATCACACGCTCTTATTATCACCACATTACTTTTTATTTCCCCCCTCCCCTGATATATTTAAAACTAGTGAATTTGCCGCGCGAGGCGCGCGGTTGTTAAAGAACATTAGTGATATCAAACAATTATTTTCTAAATTAAACAAAATTTTGAGAAGTTAAAACAGATTTTTTTACAACTATATTTTTTGAAGCATTCCTTAATCAATTACGAATATAATCAGTACATGTCTATTAGCTTGGAAAATTGAAGGCTGGCACACTACATTATTGTACCTGTTCTAATAGTTCTCTGAGAGACAAAAGCCTACTCTTTTGTTAATGACCTACATTATACTACTCTTTTGACAAACCACAAACAACAAAGCAACTAATTTCAACACCTTAAGAAGTGCCATAGATATGTCTAGCTCTCTAGAGCTCCGGAAGAACTAAGTGCTTCGTTGTGACTTTAATGTGAAAAATATAATCTTGTTCAATAAAAGTAATGCAAACGCAGAATATGAAGTGAATGCTTACATGTATTATATGGAATACAAAAGAGCAGAATGGTTAGTTAAAGGTGGTTATTGAAAAAGGGATACTATTTACATATATATCATGCCGAAACATATGTCTTATACTGCACAAAATCCGCCGTTTACTCTAATATTGAGATGATTGTGCAAATATGAAATATTATATAGTAATTAGAAACACTCAGTGATGCAATGAATCGGATTGTGTTAGCCTATCGCGATAATGCATTTAGCTTTCCCAATGGATGTCAATCCAAAATGCCACTAAGAGACCAAGACATTTTTACTCTAATATTGAGAATTATGAGTTTTGATGAGCTCTGTTAGAAGAAACACATCTTTCTCTTCTCCAATGTAGTCAATTACTTCGAAAACATATTTCGTCGTGCAACCCGTTGACACATTGCTCCACAATGAACAATTGAAAATGACAATAAAAGTGTTACTAATACTATTTCAGGCGAAAGGGATTACACAAATTAATTTAAAATTAGGTATGAGATAAAGAAGCATCTGTCCTCTTACACCAACTCTTACCATACATAAAAGCCGGCATGACATAAAACAGAGTTTAGATATCTAGAAGCACATATATAAGAAGATAAATTCACTTCTGTTATAATGGTGGACCTCAACCGCTGCCAACATAACATAGTACTCTATCTTTGGGTACCTAAGAGGACGACACTTGATGCCGATAACCACAAATTTGCCTTCTAACAATAAAAAGTCGTTTTCCCTAAAAGCGTCAAAAATAATTTCTCTATACAATGTAGTAAAAGGTTTTCATGAAAAAAAGAAAGTAATACAAATGCACAAGTACAAATTCAATATCTTTAGTCAAAATTGCTATCATGATAGAAATTTCTATCTTTCTTGCTTTCCTGCTCTTTATGCCTATGTAAGAATGACCAAAGGAGAATGGGATTCCAAGTAGCCCATTTGTGTATAGCAAATGGAATTGTTATTTCTCTGAACTTGGGTCCTAAAATTTAGGAATGTTAAACACGCTCGCTTAACCCTACAATTTTACAATAAGAAGCATACTCATTAAGGACCTAAACTCTATAAAAGCATTACACAAGTAATGCATGTAATTAAAGTATGTGTTACCTGGGAGGAAGAAGAGGAAGAAAGGGAGACATTATCAACACACCTTTTTTTTTTGGGCTAGATTCTTTAGTAGCTACTTTTTCTCAGAAGGTCATATGCCTTCATTGAAGACCTACAGTAGAAGAAAAATCTAAAACAAAATCGTAACACGCTCTAGCAAGTCAGCATTCAAAGGACATGAATTGTTATGAAACTTAGCACCTGGAAATCAACTTTCACCAGTAGTTCTAACTGGTGTTGCTAGAAGTAGTCAAAAATCCATTTAGACCACAATATAGCGATAAATAGATTATTCTCCAACTCTTCCAGTACCGAATGGATCTCCAACCCAAAAAAGATATCCTACCAAAAAATAGTATAAATAAAGATCTATTATGACTCGGTGAAATTTGACATATCATAGTACCCTCTCGAAGCAAGCTCTATGAAATCATGGCAAGTTGTTGATGCATACTTGTAATACATCTACTTTAAAAGGACAATTTCATTTTTTCACCCATACATTAGACCCAACTGTGACATAAGTAAATCGAAAGGCAAAAGAAATATAGTACATCATTTGTAAATGAACCATAAATTTCAAGAGTGACCTTTGTAGGGCTGGTTCTGCACTTTGCCACATCTCTGCTATAAGACTAAAAATAATCAAAATACAAGAGGGAATAATCAATGCAATAACAACGAATAAGCGAAGTAATTCACCAAAATAGTTAAATAAATTTAAAGAGCAGTTAAAATCATACAACACAAACGGGTGAGAATAGCTTTGCTCAAAATCGTTGACGTAAATAAATGAAACTTGATCATAGAGGGCGAATGTTGAAACCTAAAAGAGGAAATCAACATGAGAATCAACCAATAAGTGGTTCTATTAAGCAAACCAATTAGACAAATTTAAACTGCACGCAAAGTTGCAAGCAGAAAAACAACGATTTGTGAAATAAAGAAAGCCCCAAAAGCTAAGTACTACACAACAAAGAAAAAATGAATAAAATCTGCAACTGTAATCAGAACAATGAGAACATGAAAAGGCAAATAGATAGAACTATCAAATGGAAAAGGAAAACGGGAAAAGGGGAAGAAGAAGCAGTAGCAAAGAGAGAGAAGGTACTGTCGACTGATATTATGTGCTTACTCTGTTGAAGATTAAGTGTGGCTTTGCTGATTGTCCTCTGCCGGATTAAGAGATAGGTAAAAAATCAGTTTTCTACAATGGGGAAAAAAAGTCAAGCCATCAGTTTCAATGGAGAGAGATCGTTTAATCAGGAAGATAGATAATCGCAAATGTGGCTCTTTTCTGGTGGAATATGAAAAGGCGTCTTTTGGGGTGTTTATTAATCGAAACTGTTTTGCTTGTTCGATTTAGTAGAATAAGAATAAAAGAGAAATTGTTAAAAAAAAAGGGGGGGGGGAATAGATAAATATAAATACTGGCCTAGGAAGGTGCCACATCACCTTTTTTAGCCCCTGCTTTATATATTTATATAGATTAGTTGAACTGTAATTTTTTTATTGTTTCTAAAATAAAAATAATTGAGTGCAGGTTATAAATGAAACAGTAAGGCTTGCCAATATCGCCCCAGGAATTTTCAGAATTACACTAAAAGATGTGCAAATCAAAGGTAAATATCTAACTTTTAGGTCTTTTTAAGAGTCTTGTTTGGAAAGTCACCATGCAATAGAATAGGTGTAATTACAAGGGTAGTAATTACACTATAATTACGACGACATGTTTGTTTGTCATATTAATGTAATTACAGTGTAATTACAAGTTTATTGTTTGATTGCAGAAGTGTAATTATGCAGTTAGATTAAAATTTTAAATATAAAGTGAAATATCAAAAAGTAAAAGTTAAGATTTAATAAATATATGCTTTTATAAACAATATTAAACTTTACATTAAGATAGATATTGTTTCTTGAAAATATATTAATTACTAAAGATATATTTGTAACTAATATTGTAGAAGTACTTGATATATATTTTTTAAATTAATAATATTTTACTTTAATCAATTATAAAAACTAAAATTACATTTTTTGTCTTGGACTACTTGCTTGACAAAATTATTACAGTAATATTTATAAATATAATGTTATAACATTACTCAAATATTTTACGAAAAAATAATCTATCAATTTTAACTGAAAAATGAATGGTGTGCAATATGAATTAATAAGTGAATACTACTAAAACAAATAAAATAGAAGCAATAATATAACATAAATTCAAAATCTAAAAAATAAAATAAAATAATACTCTTATGTAAAATTATACAACAATAAAGAATGAAAAACGAGAATACTATTTCAATATGAAAAGTAATCTATAGTTTAACTGTCACAACCCAAAATCTTACCCGTCGTGATGACGCCTATCACAATACTAGGCAAGCCGACAATCTCAATGAACCACCATATCTTTTAAGTTTGAAAACATAATATCTAAATTTAGCGGAAGAAAAACTCACAAATACATATATAAACACTCCCAAAATCCGGTGTCACTAAGTACACGAGCATCTAATATGAATACAAGTTTGGAAAATACGGTCCATAATAGTCTGAGACCAAATGCAGTAAATAAGGAGATAGGGAAGGAGAGGCAAGGTCTACGAAACACGGCAGCTACCTCTGAATCTTCGGAAAATCAACTGTGCGACAAGTATAACCTCTCAGGACAACAATCAATCACTAGGCTCCCATCCCTCAGCACTCGCACTCAATGGGTACCCACGTTCATTGGGGGTGTACAGACTCCGGAGGGGCTCCTACAGCCCAAGCGCTATAATCCGCACGGATAAGTCACGTGCTGCACAGACAACTCACGTGCTATAGTATCAATATCTGGATCCACACGGATAACTCACGTGCTGCACGGACAACTCACGTGCTATAGTATAATAACTGGATCTGCACGGATAACTCACGTGCTATAGTATAATATTTCATAATCAGGCCCTCAGCCTCGCTCAGTCATAACTCACTCCAGTCTCTCGGGCTCTCAACAATCATGAAATCAGCCCAAACAACAATGATATGATGCATCAATAATGAACAATAGAGATTGGGATAAAATAAATCAAGTAAACTGTGATTGGGTACAAAACAACAATTTAAGCAGATAGTTCAACATGTACACGACCTGTGTGGGTCCCAACAGTACCAATATATAGTCTAAACATGGTTTCTAACATGACTTACAGTTAAATTTCCATAACACATAGAGAGCACATAGCTAATAACAAGTTATTCAACTTTACAGTTTCCACGGGATAGACCAAGTCATAATCCCCTCGGAGCACGCTCACATACCCGTCACCTCCAAAGTAATCACATGATACCAAAATTCGGGGTTTCATACCCTCAGGACCAGATTTATAACTGTTACTTACCTCAAACCGTAAAATTCTTATTTTGCAATGTCTTTTCCTCGTGAATTGGCCTCCAAACGCCTCGAATCTAGCCATAAATAATTCAATTTAGTCAATAAAATTTATTGAAATTAATTCCATGAGAAAATGCTAATTTTCCATAAAAATCTGAAATTTAAATCAAACATCGCCTGTGGGGACCACGTATCGGAACGCGACAAAAGTTACAAAATCCTAACACCCATTCCGATACAATTTCAACCATACCTATTTTATCAAATTCCGATAACAACTCGACCTCCAAATCTTAAATTTTCGTTTTTGGAAGATTTTGCAAAAAACTTGATTTCTTCCAATTAAATCTGAAATAAATGATGAATATAACCATATAATCATAAAGTATAATCACTTTCAGATATATCACACTTATTCCAATCCATATGGTAAAAATCACCTTAAATATCGCTTCAATCGGAGCTCCAAATCTCTAAATATGTTAAAAATAGCTGAAACCTCGAAATATGGCTACTGCCCAGGTATTTACTCTTCGCGATCGCGGAAATTGCTTCATGATCATGAAGCACAAAATTTGTCAGCTCCAAAATTGCTCTTCGCAATTGCGGAAAATCAATCGCGATCGCGTAGAACAAACTCCCCGACTCTTACACACAACCTCTAGTATAATGGTCATAAAGTTTGGTACAAAACTCCAAAATGCAAATGGTTTAACTTTCTGAAATCTAGCCATCAAGGTCTATAACTTCCATTTGTTTCTCATCTCCTAATTCCTTATAGATTGCTATATATAAGCTTCCAAAGTTAGCCCTGTGTAACAGAGATTTCTAAACTCTTCCCAGATAGCTTATAGTATATCTACCATAACCTTTTATACACAATTCCAAATGACAAATGGTTTACCTTTCCGAATACTAGACATCAAGGGCTACAACTTTTAATTCTGGATCATCTCCAAATTCCTTATAGATGGCAAGATATAAACTTCCAAAATTGGGGCAGTGCAACAGAGATTTTGTTCTACGCGATCGCGAAAGAGCTTTTGCGATCAAGATTCACAAGGCCCCAAACTGTTGCTTGCTCTTCGCAAACACGACCAAATGTTCGCAATCGCGATGCACACCTCTGTAGGCAGAAACCAACAATTAAAAATGGACTAAAAATGGTCTGAAACCACCCTGAAACGCACCCGAGCCCCTCGGGAGCTCAACCAAATATACCAACAAGTCCTAAAATATCATATGATCTTAGTCGAAGCCTCGAATCACATCAAACAACGCTAAAACCACGAATCACACCTCAATTCAAGCCTAATAAACTTTAAACTTTCAAATTATGTATCTTGTGTCGAAATACATCAAATCAATCCGTAATGACTTCAAATTTTGCACACAGGTCATAAATGACATAACGAAGCTATTTCAATTTCCAGAATCGGATTTCGACCTTGATATCAAAAGTCAACCCCCAGTCAAACTCCCCAAAATTCAACTTTCGGTATTTCAAGCCTAATTCCTCTACGGACCTCCAAATAATTTTTCGGATACGCTCCTAAGTCCAAAATTACCATACAGAGCTATTGGAATCATCAGAAATAAATTCTGAGGTCGTTTACACATAAGTCAATATCCGGTCAACTATTTCAACTTAAGCTTCTAACATGAAAATTTATTCTTCCATGCTAACTCCGAAATACCAAAACCAAAACCGACAATTCACACAAGTCATAATACCTCGTAGGAAGTTATTCAAGATTTCAAATAGTTGAAAGGAGCGTAAATGCTCAAAATGACCAGTCGGGTCGTTACAATCTCCCCCACTTAAATATACGTTTGTCCTCGAATGTGCCAAGAGTTGTTCTTAACCTTCAAATCTCTATTCCACCTTACCACGCACATACCCGGGGGTGATCGCACGCCACTCTATTCTGTATAAGACTGACCACACAACCTAACTAAAAATCATTAATTTAGCCTTAGCCCAAAACCGTAGACCCAAATTTCTAACATCCAGAATTCTTTTCAAGACCCGAATCTCACATCTACACACTGTATAAGCCTGAACAAGCTATATCCAGCCATAAACATAATCCCAAATATCATCGCATAACATACTACACAACTCGCATACTCGTAATACCATTTCTGATCACAGTAACTACTCAAAACCAACCAAGTACTAGTATAAAACCTCATATCAAGCCAAACCTCGTTCCAAAAACCTCCGTACACTACTGATAATAAAAGAAACATGCAAAAATCTCATGACCCCTTATCAGAGGAACAAGTCATGGAGCTCTCTCTCCCCAACCAGAACCATAATCACTTTCTAAGTCGACTTTCAATATTATACTCCCGAATATACCGTAATCACACCTGATAGTACATATTTTAGGTCCGATAAACTTATATTATTAAACACAACTATCCCATATACATGCCACATCAATATAAATCAAGCCACAACTGCGCAATTTGTGTACCCAAATATTGGAGATGTCTCAAGGAAGATAACCGTATTGCAAGTTCAACAAGAACCACTACAACCGCAATGTTAAAACCAACTTCTCAAATTTCATGAAGAGGATAACCGTAGGCGCATATGCACAATTGTAGGGGAAGGAAATTAATAAATCAGATAAATTATCATAGAAATAAAATTCTCACACATGGCACAGACAACTGACGTGCCAATAATATGAATCGCCCGACATGGTCACAGGCCTCCAGTCCCATCATATCATGCATGAGCAATTAAACAAGTACACTTGTATATAACAATGAAATAAGATTCTCATGCTCCTGGACTGGTATAAATAGCACGCTATAGTGTAAGCATGTGCAAAGTCTGCTATCACACTTCAAATCGGCAATGTTTTTAACGCATAATTAGTAACTACCCCATTTATTTAGGGAATCATCTTATTTGTAACCTCAAGTATAGCCCAGATAGTTCTCAACAAAAGTACGAATACGGAAAATGTTATAACGTTACGCTTAACAGTCAACTTTAGGCATATAATAGCTTAAGCATTCTGCCGAGTATGAATACTTGCTCTAATGCCCGCACATGGGCTCAAACTTCACATATATGCGCACTCATAGCGCATAGCTATCACAAATAATTAACTCAACTAGTGCCTCCACCAAGTTTTAAATAAAATAGTCACCTCAAATAGGTCACAACCCCGAAACAATATACTTCTGAGAACTCCCAGTCTCCAAATTCATCGA